TTTCTTGTTAATTTTTATTTTTTAAATACAAACCCGCGTATTGATTTTTTTTTTTTTTGAACAAACAAACAAACCAACCAACCCGCCCCCCCCTCCCGCCCCGTTCCCCACTCCCGCCCCGCACACACGCCTGCCTCTGGGAGGGAAATAGCCAGGTGGAATCTCACTCTGTTTCCATGGACAACCCGTCCATTATCACCCAGGTGACTAACCCCAAAGAGGAGGAGATCCTGTCCTGCACTCAGGATAAAGGTGAGCTGCCTTCTCTCTTTTCTCTATGATTTCCCCACACCCCCCCCTCCGCTTAAAATCGCATTCTTCAGTGACCGTATAATCCTCTCTAGGCTACTGGGAATAGAGGAGGGCTTGTTGGGTTTGGGTTGGTTTTTTGCTTGTGGGGTGAAGGTATTTGCATGAATGTCTCTGAATTTGCTTACTGGATACAGCCGAGAACTTGTTAGAGTGTTTAAATGCCAAGTTTAATCGGTCATTTAAATAAAATACTCTTGTTCCTCGAGGTTTGGGGAGGTAACTTTGTGCGGTGGTCACTGTGCCGTTAGTGCCCCGCTTCAGGGGAGGGATACCTGTGCTGGGTGTGTTGGAACGCTTTGAAATCTCAGCTGTTAAGATTTTAAATTTTTTTTTTCCCTCCCCCCCTTTTTTTTTTTTTTAAAGCAAAATAAAAAATTTCGGGTTTCTTTCTGCTTTCCTGTGTTCTTTCCTGCCTCACATTTCAGAATGTGTAGCTTTCAGGTTTGTTGGAGGATATTTGCGCTTCTCAGAAGGAGATATGCGCTACTTTTAAAAGCGGCTCTGTTTACTCAGTAGATAAATAGTTGTTGCCTGTGTGAGGCATCGTGCCTGGATTGTGTTTTGCTCCTAAATGAGATGAATCCAGCCTGGCCGAAGGAGGTGCTTCCGTCAAAAGTCTGGGTGTTGATGAGTGCCCTTAACCTTGTTTCTTTTTGGAAGCTCGGAGCGGTCTTGGGGCTTTAAGTGGTTGTGTCCTTGCGTCTGGTGGTGGGCAAGGTACAGGGTGAGCAGCAGGGTTCAAGTTCTGGGGAGCTGTGTGTGGATTTGGGAAAGTTACTTGGATGTCAAGTTTATGCTTTGTTGCAGGCAGTCCTGGTAAATAGGGGAGAAAGGACAGAAATTAGAAATAGTGTCTGTGTTCCCTGGTAGGTACAGTAAAACCTTCGAGTGATCTTCTAAAAATGGCAGATTGATATATCTTGCCCTAAAATGGATGGATTTCGTGTCCAAAAAGCTTCCATTTTTGTGTGGCTCGTCTTGTAAATAGGGAGGGGTCCCATATTGTTGAAGTTGCTCTCTGTTACTTTTGACTGAGAGGCCATATCTGAAATATCTCTCTTCTCACTTCTCCGGTGCTGACTGCAGAAGTATGAAGGTACGTTTATTAAAAAAAAAAAAAAGCCATGAGGTTGGGGGTTGTTTGAACAAAAAAATTATTGTTTCGTTCAGCATAGGAGTGTTCATGGAACTCTCTTTAATTCCTGTCACTTGTGAGGTGATACTTCCACCACGAGGCCTGGTTTGTCTCAAGGGATCTGTTGTGTTTTCCTCTGTTTTGGCAATGTGGAGCATGGAGTATCTACAGTAAGGTGCTCTGCTCTGCCTAAGACTTGGTTTGGGGTGGATGTGCGTGATACTTTGCTCAGATGTTGTCGTGGTGTTAATGGGCTGTGTTATTGTAAGTAGTGGAAGGGCTTCATTAATATCAGTAGCAGCTGGTTGAAGTCTGAGTGTAAAAAAAGCCGGTTGAGACAAGTAGGGGAAGATTTGACAGCTCAAAATAAGAGTAAGCATCCACATCAAACAAGTGGCTTCAGAGTCCTTGGTAGAGCGAGCAAAAATATGCATCTAACTTGCATAACTCTGCAGTAACTTGCATAATGTGCATTGTGTTCTTGCTATTGGTTTGTCTTTGGCAGAAAATGGTCTTCATTGCAGAGTAGGGGCTTTTCAGGCTGTGTGTTAGCGAGGCTGGGCGGGGGGAGAGGGGAAGGAGGGGGAATCTGGAGTTCGGAGACAAGGGAACTCCAGCGTCATCTTCATGCAGGTGGTGAATTACCTTTTTTTCTGTTTTTGGGGTGGTTTTTTTTTTTATTGTGGTTAAAGTGCATGCATTGGTTTGACGATGTGCTCTGCGGTGAGACTGTCAGATCACTCCAGAGCAACTTTTGCAGGAAGAGAGCTGCGGGTCTGTCCGTGCTGGGCTCTGGAAGGAGCGCGCTGCTTGCTCCAACCTCTTCCACTACAGGTTTTCCCAGTGCTCGAGGTACGGAGCTGGTGAAAACCCGTTGCTCTACCTGCCTTCCTGGCGTGGTTACATATCACGTCACCCAGTTTTCTGTCGGATTTCTTCACACTTCTAGCAAAGCCTTTAGGTCCGGAGAGCTGCGAGAGCGCCCGGAGCAGAGATGGGAATACTGATAAGGTTCCTAGCAGGAGACCGGTGTTGAGCGAGTCCTCCCTGCTAATTCTGAGTGAACTGAATGTACTGGTACAAAATGGCTAACAAATATGTTGAGGCATCGTGAATTAACTCTTTGTTTAACGAAATCAATGATCACCTGAGCCTAAAGTCTGAAATACAGCAGCTCTGTGCTGTGTGAGCCAGGGCTGTCCAGTTTAATGAAAACCTGTTTTTTCCTCCGAGTTTAGTGTTTGGCTGCAGAAATAAATTCCAGGGTACTAAGTGGCATGTGGTGGCTTTGGGGAATCAGTGTTTTCTTAGGGTTTTTGAGACCTTCTGTTGCTGTTTCTTGAGGGGAAAAAATGAATTTATTTTCCTGTTGTTGAGCTGGAGAGAAGCAGTTTTACAGTAACTGAGCAGCTGCTAAATAATGCATGTGTCTACCTTCAAGGTTTTGATTTTTCTCCCAAGATTTTTTTTTGAAGCTTTTAATCAGATGTGAGTCCAGCATTTAGCCTGATTTATTTTTTAAAAACGTATTTATGTTTTAAAAGGAGGTCGATGTGCAGTACAGGCTTATGCCAAATTTCTCCTGTGCAAGGGAGCGTCGTTGGCAAGAAACAGAGCTGGTTCTCTGGTCCTGGGGCACTTATGTTTTTAGGTAAATAACAAGCTTTACAAATAAAAATGCCCAAGTTATTTTCTTGCTAGCCCAGATGTATTAAAAAGTAGCTCTTGAGATAAGTGAAGCTGTGAAACCTTGTTAAAGGGGAGCATTCGAAGATGGATTTGTTAATGTTTATTTTTTACCAAATTGCAGCAAATTTTTGAAGGTGGAAAAAGCCAGATCTTGGTATGTGAGCCATTCCCTAGTATGTTGCCACATGGTGGTGCACTGGATTTAGTTGTCTGTCAAAATGAAAGCTGAGCATGGAAGGTTTGCTACAACCATATTTTTTTATTATTATTATTGTAATGTTCTCAAATGCCTGTGGTGTTCGTGCTGCTGGAGGATTTTGGTCCCTTCCTATGTTGTCAGATTAGTTCTGGGAAACAGAAACTTTGGTTCTCCCAACTAGCAGAGATTTGTAGGTGCTTGAAAATATTTTGAACACTGAATCCGCAGAGAATTTAATTCCCTGTTAGTTGTTTAAGTAACAAAAATAGTAGTTCTTCGCAGAAATATTTTATGTTGTGATCATCTGGCACTTCTGGGAATTGGAAACATAACCAAGACTTGTAATTTGAAATTAAAATGGAGACATAAATACGTGAAAGGGGGTTTGTTATAACAGGGATAAGCGTGAGCAACTAAGAAAAATATAAATAAAAGCTACAAATGAAAATTGAAAATCTGATGAGTTTTCTGTGTAATTAATTCTGCAGATAAAATCAACTGTTTATTTTCTAAAGGAAAGCGTTAATTCTTATTATTACTTGAACAGAGACCTGTAATGCAAGATCTCTATGGTTAAATGTATAGAAAACAGAGCAGTGCTGACGGGCCCTTGCATTGAGTGTAACATCGAGAGCGTGGTCACGGATGGGCAACAGACATTCAGCCCAAAGAAGGGAATTTCCCTTTTTTTTACCTAAATGCTTTAATTTGATCCTCATAAATGATGCAGATTCTTGGCTGTTTCCACGTGCCAAGTTAAATAGTGGCGTAATACTAGCCCAGTCCTTCAGGTACCTCCTTCAGGCTGTGGTGGTTTGTTTTCTTTCTTCAGATAAATCTTTCCTGACTTCTATAAAAATTGTCAACTGGGCATCTATTTTCAGTTGTTTAGAGTTTAAACTGAATGCTGTAGTGTCCCTACAAATGTGTGTTTTCTTATGCAATAAATTACATGAAAGAGGTTCACAGTGGAACCTAAACCATTGTAATTTTTTTTTAATCACAGTGAGTCCCCGAGGATGTTTCCACAAACAAACTTCTTTGCCTTCTTTTCTTTCAAATAAAATTGGAATAACCACCAGCGAGAGCAATATTCGTTATGATTTTAAAGAAGAAGTTCTGAAGATCTCAATTTAGAAGCCAAAATAAGTGTCTTTGTGTCTTCAATAAAAAAAAGGCATTTTGAAAATAGCTGAAAATATTTTGAATGTACTTTTTTGCCATTACATCACCAGGATTCAGAGCACTCAAACATTTGAACATATGTTAATGATCCTGAGACATTGTCTCAACAGAGTTTTATAATATTAACTTCAGAATTTTAGTGTTAAAGTAGCAATTTAAGGAGGGGGGGAAAAAAAAAGTTGTGGAAACCACTCGGGCACTGCAGTGGAATGTGAGTTGCTCGCAGAGGGTAAAATTTTAAATCATTAACTAATGGCATAGCTGTTATATGAAACCAGAGTGGCCATACAGTAGGTTTTATGTTCCAAGGAGACTGTAGTAACCTGTAGTAACCCAAGATTTGATTTAAGCTCACATTTAACAGGCTGAAGTGCCCTGGCAGTAACAGGAATGATAACTTTCATGAATGTCGAATTCTCGGTCGGTGTCTTTAAGCTGCGGCGCGATCGTTTCTTCGTGGTGCCACCTCAATTCATGCTGGTTTCAGTGCAGTGATTTAACTGAAGCGTTCCAAAGTTTAACGTGCCTTTAAGGGGAAAAAAAACCAAACAAACCCAAACCCCAAAGTTGACCTACATTTTGTTAATTCAGTATTCAGAAATGCAAATAGCATTTTCTGACACAATCGGTAAAATGCGGCGTGATCGATGCTACGCTTCAGCTTTCGGAGTTTAAGCTGAACATTACAAATAAGCCTCGGGATAACAGGTCCATGTTTGTTTCTTTAAAGGGACGTTAAACTAAAATGCTGAGAAAGCAAAAGCCAAGAGAAATGAGACTCGCTTGCCAGTGTTGGTGAAGGACGTTCCCATTGGCCTAATAGAGAGGTTTAACTGTGGGAAGCTTATTTTTCCATCGTGGAACACTGAATTTATGAGTTTTACTGTCTTGTAAAAGTCATCATTCCAACATGAATATGATGCAAATTAGATCTAGCCTGCAATTTTTATGTGTGTTGAATCTTAAATGTTCCCTCTCTAAGCAAGTACACTTTGGTTTTCTGCTAAATTTTGAGTTGGAAGAGTTGTTGGCAATTACCACCATGGCTGGGGCTCAGTGTTACATTTTCAATTCAGTTCTGAGTTTCAGGCGATCCTGGATATGGAAATGTGAACTTGAGGAGTGAATTTGCCCAGTACTCAACCCCAGCCAACGCAGAATTTTGGATGGATTACGTTGAATTGTATTTGAAGTGTTTCTGTCCACAAGAGTTAACACTTTCTTTAAAAAAAAATAAAAATTAGGAAAAGCAAATACAGGTCTAATTACCTACACTCTTCCCTAGGCTTTGCCCACTGTGTGAATCAGTAAGGGAAAATGTGGCTCATCCCTCTTTCCCCTCCCTGCCTGGGGGATACATCTTGCTGGGAGAGCAGCTAGGAATGTGGATCTGTGGGACCAGGGAGGAGGGGAGAGCTGCCAAAGTGCTCCAGCCTATCTGGGGGACAGAGCAGAGGGTATGAAGTCCTGGCTCTCGGGGGCTGTGGAGCCCAGACAGAGGCTGGTAGTGGAAATGGGAATAGTTTTAGTGTCTACAAGAGGCTCCCAAACTTCCCTGACCCCCTCCATCTTCCCGGGCACTGGGTGCTCCCATGATGAAGTCAGAGGGTCTCTGCCCACCCAGTTGGGTTGTGTGTGTTCCCTTGTCCCCTTTCAAAAGTGTATCCAGAAAGGGGAAGGAATCTTCCAAGCTGAAATAAGACAACAGCTGATCATTCTTCAATCAGCCAAGCCTATTTAGAGGTTTAAAGACCACATCTGGATTGCTGGTAAGGATTGTAAACCATCTGATTCCTCTCAGCAGTGGAAACCTGGCTGGAAAGTCTCACAAAAACTTTCAGCAGCATCTCTGCAGTCTTCGTGTGTCTGTTCTAATGAATGATACTGATATAAGCTGTATTTTCGGTGCTCATCTCAAACAGGATGACATCTTCTCGTTGGATTTAAATTCTTTGCTGAACTTGCAGAGCTCCAGGAAGGCACAGAGGGAAATTTGCCTCCTCTGCTTTAGTGTCATCAGAGATGCTTTTAAGAGTTTCATGTTGGAAATGTTAATCTTCTGTAAATTCTGCTTTTGCTGGAATTTGTTGGGAGCTCGCTTTATTTTTACTTGGGGAGGTTAAGGCATAAAATGGGCATAGATGTGACAAATATGGAAGCCTTAAGTGGCATCTAAATAGATCAGAGTAAAAATACATTCCACGTGGTCTGCTGTGGTATAATTTTGGCCCTCTTTTTTGTATTTCTAGAATGTTTGCTGTAAGACAAAAAAAAATAAATCCAAGTGAGTCCTATACAGTCCAGTCCTTTCAGTACCAGCTGCTGCTGTGAAAAATAGATATTAGCAGTAAAAATATCAATTTTAGCCAAAGGAGCTGAGAAAGTTCTGTGAGTGGTGTTGGGCCTACATAAAGATTGTAGGCTTTATTCAGTCTGTTATCAAAATGATCACTTGCATCAAAGTGCCACTTCTTGTTTTCTTTGTACAAGATAATAAATTATGATTTGTAAAAAGAAGAACCCAATTACTAGAAGTGATTGGCTGCACTAGAGACTAGAATTCTATTATCTAGAAAATTTATTGCGAGTTAAATCTGAATAAATGTATGGTAGACTGGGATTCTGGGGATGTCAGGGGCTTTTTAAATGAGATTTTTTTCCTTATTTATTTTTGCAAGAAACTATTACTCTCCTCTGAATGCTTATGAATGTATTTAAAGCTTGACAAATGGGCAAGTAAGACACTGCAGAACCTGTTCTGTGCAGAGGAGCAGCCCCAAATGATGGATGCCTCATCTGTCAAAATCTACTGTGCATGTAACTTTTCAAAATGTTTCTAAAATTCCAGGACCAGTTTGGACAAAACAAGTGTTTTATGAACCCAACCTGCAGTTACAGTTTGTATAGTGATGATATTGTTTAACGTCATCTTGTAACTGGTCAGCTGTTTCCTGCCACTGTTGCAAACCTTATTTTCTTGGTAGCAAGCGAAGTATTGATTTTTATTCACTGCCATGCTCTCCCCCACCCCCGCAGCTCTCTGCTTCCTGAGTTGTATTCCAGGATTCCCAGCGGAATTGGCAGTAAAACTAATCTTGCCGTTTCCCAGTTTGCTGTAATCAGCAGTAAAATTTGAAACTCTCTTGTTTATTTGATGATTTGCAAAGCTTGGTCATCCCCTTGGTCATCCCCTCCTCTCTTGGCCTCTGGGAGTCAGAGGGAGGAAGAGGGAGAGGTGCCTCTCCAGGTCTTGGGGATGAACTCCTAAGCTCAGAGAACACTTTGGGGTGGATGGCTGTGTTTCCACCTTCATAGCTGTCAGAAAGATATTCTGCCACAACGCTGCTGTTACACTGGACACGTGGAGGAGAATCCAGGTGTTTCTTTGAAGTAACGTTGGTAAAAGAATTTTTTTTAAAGGCGGGAATTTTGCACGGAGTCGTTCCGAGCCCGTGTTTAACAGTTTGCAGACAGTGCTGCCTCATTTCTGTCCACAAAAGCTGTTTTGTATTTTCATGCCTGAGTGTTTACATACTTGCATTGGTTACCCATGAATGCACGTACATGTGGTTACCGGGGATCTAATTACAGGAAAGCTTTTGTAGAATCGTGGAACAGTCTGGGTTGGAAGGGACCTTAAAGATCATCTGGTTCCAACCCCCTGCCGTGAGCAGGGACACTTTCCACTAGACCAGGTTGCTCAGAGTTCCATCCAGCCTGGCCTTGAACATTTCCAGGGATGAGGCAGCCCAAACTTCTCTGGGCAACCTGTTCCAGTGCCTGATCACCCTCACAGGGAAGAATTTCTTCCTGATATTCAGTCTAAACTTACTCTCAGTTTGAAGCTGTTCCCTCTTGTCCCATCACTTCCCACCTTTGTCCAAAGTCCCTCTGCAGCTCTCTTGTAGACCTTTAGGCACTGGAAGGGGCTGTAAGGTCTCCTGGAGCCTTCTCTTCTCCAGCTGAACACCCCCAGCTCTCCCAGCCAGTCTCCACAGCAGAGGGACTCCAGCCCTCTCAGCATCTTCATGGCCACCTCTGGATTCGCTCCAGTAGGTCCACTTTGGAAAAGTTCAAAATGCTGGGCGTGGGTTTTGAAGTTTTGCAGCCTGAGATTTGCTTGAACTGTGAGGTTGGCAGTTTTTTCCTAGTGATGATTAGACGGATAGAAGCATTCTGCAGAGGATTAGTCAATAGTGGCGTGTTCCTAGAAGATATTTAATCGTTTATACTTGCTTCAGCCAAGCACAAAGAAAGGTCTAATATTTACCATCTGGAGAGAAAGGAACAATTATAAAGTAACTCACTAAACTTTCACAAAAGCTTAGAAATTTAACAAAATAGGTGCGTGGGACTTCTCAACTAAAACTGGTCAGAGATATACATTAACAATTTGAGGCATGCAAAGCATTTCAGGAAAAACAGTTCAAGCATATATTTTACAGGGATTTTTGGAGTGAAGCTTTGACCTTTTGGATTTTTTTTAATTCTCTCTCTTGCTGTGTTTTGCTTTTCTTGCCTTTTTACGTTCTGATGAGAAGTTCTGGAGCAGCAGCTGCTCTTCGTGGTGTGTTTCTGTTGAAGTTCAAGGGGCTCAGAGGTACTTGGAACTGGTGGCTGTGTCTGGGTATAATTCTGGTGTGTCAGTGCTGGGTTAGTGGTTGGACTCGATCTTAGAGGTCTTTTCCAACCTTTGTGAGTCTGTGAGAAGCTGTAGTGGATGTTTGGGAGTGAGGTGGTGCAGTGATGAGGAACCCAGGACCATAACTGCATGGACAGATTGTCTCCTGGCAAGTTGGCCAAGACGGTGTAGGAACTGTCTTACAAAGAAAGATATTCTATGTGTTTCTTAACTCCCCATTGAAATTTAGGAAGATAAAGGTCTTTATCACTTCCAGTGATTGTTGTGCTGTATTTAAAGGGAGGAGATGCACAAAAAATAACCAGTAAAATAGAGTAAGTTTGGCAGGGCTCTTCCCACAGTACAGCGTGGCTTCAGAGGGAAAGGCAAAATATCCCATTTGGGATAAAGGAAGTGTTTGCTCCTGCATCATACAGGTGACCTGCATAATCCTTGAAGAAATGGTTCCCAAAACAGTTTATCTGGGAATGCCTAAACAGGGTTAACTGGCAGCAATTCGCATTTGTTACAACTAAAGTAATTTTATGAAGGTACTGAGAAATAATATTATGAAGGTACTGATTGTGTTTCAGCATATGAATTATGTGTCATCAGTCACAGAATCACAGGATGGTTTGGGTTGGAAGAGACCTTAAAGATCATGCAGTTCAACACCCGTGCCATGGGCAGGGACACCTTCCACTAGACCAGGTCATTCAAAACCTCATCCAGGCTGGACTCGAAAACTTCCAGGGATGGGGCAGTAGAAGAAGGAAGGGGAAGATTCCTTTACATAGTGACCAACTGAACGTGTCAGGTGTCTGTGCTTAAATTGATCCTGAACTCTCACCCACAGTTTTTCTGTGGTAGGTTACGGGTGCTGGAAGCTGCTTCCCTTTGCCAAGTCATTTGTTGGCCAGCTGCCAATTCTCATTACTTTTTATGATACGAAGCTGATTTTGTTGAGAATCAGTAAGTTGCAAATGATTTGAGAGCTTTGGAAGAGGAGAGGGGGAAGGTTATGTTAGTTGGGGAATTAAAAAAAAAAAAGAAAAGGAAAAGAATACTGAATGCAATCTGCAGTGCAATTCATTTGCTAATTACACATTGACATAAATTGGAAAGTCCCAGAAGGAGGGGGTTTGCAGCATAACTGGAAAACAATTTGCATCTGTGTAGAGGTCTGTGCTTATCCACAGAGGAATGAGATTTTAACTGGATTTGTTTAATCGGGTTTATCGTGAGTACATAGTTGTGGGATTCCTTTTTCCTCACATTTCAAAATCTCCTGTCTTTCTGGAAGATTCCCTCTTGTGTTGAGATTAAATATGTCAAGGAAGGATGTATGGTTAAGTTTAATGGAGACTGAAAGTGAAACCTAAAAAAAAACTCTGGAAACGTCCTTCCGAATTTTAGAGTGGATGGAATACTTGAATGTTTCTGGCTCCAGATTACCATGATAAAACTGACAGCTTAATGCAAACTGTGCCCTGAAATTCAGATGCCTTTTCTCCTGCCCTATAAGAAATCTGAAACACTCCAGCAAATTCATTCTCTCTCTGTTGGAAAAGTTACTAAAAGCTGATTGTTCAGACTAACTACATGCTAACTAGTATTACTACAGAGAACATTTACTGTTAGTATTATGACAGTTTGGTCTGTTTTTTTCGTTACAAGTCCTTCAGCCTTGTTGCTGCCCATCATGTTACCCTACAGTTGCCTCCACTTCTCCTTGGGTAAACATATCATGATGGGAAAAAGGACAAAAATCTGAGCAAAACTAGAAATCAAACCTGACAGTTTTGAAATAGGAATCCGTGCAGGTCTCATTCCTGTATTTACTTGTGCTGTTGCTGCTGCACATCATTATAAATTACCTGTTTAGCATCATTCTGGCAACAAGTGAGGTCTGAGAGCAGGATGGCTTTAAAAATGCCACCACCTCAGCTGTTGTGGCAGTGATGGATTCTTTTCAATACCTTTCAGTCAATCAGTTGTTTATCTTAAACATGAGAACTAAATGCTGTTACTATCTGATGTTACAGAACTGTAATAATATTAAAAGGAGAAAAATGAACTTTCAGACAAAGTCTGCCCCAAGAAACAACCTCAGTAGATTCCTAAGGACCAGGTGTCCCTGGATCCTTCAGGTACCCTTCCCATCGGATGCAGAGTCACACTCAGTAACTACAAAGGTGGGATGAGAAGGAGGTTTGGCTTTATAATTTCTGTTCAAAGTGTTCTTTCAGGAAAAGTCCTAAATGGAAAGGATGAAACTGTGCTATTCACTTTGCACCATGGAATATGTTGGATTAATCCCTGAAGTGCAAAATTTAACATTGGCCTTGTGCTGTTGTGGTTCTGTTCAAGTGCAGTTTCCACAGAGGGTTCTGATCCTTCCCCTCGCGACCCAGAAGTATTTGTTTCACCACACACCGTTCAAATAACACCTGCAATCTTCTTAAATTGTAAATCTAAAAATATTGATTGGAGCTCTGCGACATAAAAAATAATTCCCTGTGCTCCTACGTCCAAGAAAAAAACCAAACCCCAACACACTCAAAAATAAAATCAAGCGAAGCAAAGCAAACAAAAAAAAATTCTCAGTAACGTTAGCAGGGATATAAGCTGTGAATGTGCAACTGATAATGGAAATCTCAAAGGTGACCTCGTGGTGGTGACCAGGAGGACACAGCAGTGCAGTTTCTAGCAAGGTAACCTGGCACTCAGACTGTGCCAATCACACTGGTGGACAAGGGCGTGTGTCTGTGTGAGTTGTGTTTGTACTAAAACATAGAAGTAATCCTGGCTTTGTTTTGGAAATGTCTTCCATGGCCACTAAAGACACGAGAGTAAAATAAGTCTGCTCTGACTCATCGCAGAATATTCTGAGATAGTCCTAAATTCAGCATGTTAAGGTTAATATCTGTTTAGTTTAGGTTTTGTTTATCCTTATGCTGTGGATGGGGGGGATGCTGGAATTCACTTGATATCATTTTAGAAATCCACAAGTAAAAATTCATTATTTTTCAACAGGCAGTAATGCACATAGTACTTACCTAACCAAAAAACACTTGATTTTTTTTCCTTTGCCAATGGTGCAAGGTTGAAATAAAATGGTTCTATTGGCCATGTTAAATACTTGCTAAGAGTCAAGTGGGAAAACAAAAATTTATGGTAGGGTTTTTTAACTGTTTTCCAGTAATTGTCAGCCCAATACATGCTGCTCTTAAAAAAAAAAACCAAAACAAAACAACAAAAAAAACCAAAAAAACCCAAAAAACCCCAAAAAAAACCCAAAAAAAACCCCTGCAATTTTTATTGTGAAGATGATTTCTTAAGTACCACTGTAGGTGGTCTTTGTATTAAAGCCTTCAGTAACAAATGGCTTTATCTTCTCTTCTGCTAATAAGGTCAGTAAAGGTTTCTCCCTTGGATAATAATGACACAGTTTTGAAGGCATAAGAATCCCAAGTGGAAAACAGGTTCACAGTTTTCACCTTTTTAATATCTGCTCAGGTGATGGGCAGCTGGCTCTGCTACAGAGTATTTTACAGGAGTAAACAGGCCTTCTTGCTTTAATTAAGAGTGTATATGTAGAGGAACTGTGATTGTCTGGGAAGCTGTATCCTGTATTTTCAGTTAAATAGCTGATAAAATGCTGCGGTTGTGGAAATGACTACCAAGTCCAGTAGACAGATGCCTTTGAAAACAGTTTTGGTTTTCTATTTAGTCATCAAAAGCAATCAAACATTTAGTGAAGTTTGATGGTCTTGTGCTGTAATGAAATAAGCACTGAATTTTTCCCAAGGTGGTAAAGTAGCTGTTTGGACCCAGTATCCAGAAATACATTTAAAAATTTTTTTTCAAGTTTACTAAGCAACAAAACACATGTAAATTGTTTTCTTTGCAAAGTCTGGGTGGATTCACTTCTCTGGAATCAGTTGTCTTGCGTGTTGAATAATAGCAGAAATGTACTGAGAAGAGAATTGAGTATGAACATGTTAAATTCATGACTTGTGTGCTAGTGAAAGGGAGCAGCAAGTATTTACTAGAGAACTAACTTCTTAATTCTTCTAGAAAAAATTAAAACATTTCAACTGGACAGAGAGCTCAAATGTTTGACCTGAAGATACTTCCATGGCAGTGTTTGGGTAAAACTGACCACTAACACCCTTCCCTCTGGAAAACATCCCATCTATTTATATCACTTCCCAGAGGTTAAATGCAGCCCTTGGAACAGTCACAGGAAATAATACCAGTGTGCTTCTAAACCGTGACCTGCCTTTTGGTCCAAGTGGCCAAATAAGCCACTTTTCTTGATTACTGGGAGGACCACATGTCATTATTCCTGCCCTGTGTGGAGCCTGGAGGTGCCACATGTCCCACTGTCCATCACTAACTCCCCATTTCCACTGCCTGGTTGGTTTGTTTGTTTTTTTTTTTTTTCCTGTGTTTATTCACGAACACCACTGTGTATCCATTTCAACCTTTTGGTCCTTTTTGAGGGAAAGTTGAGCCAGATGTTCTGTTGTCCCTCAGCTGTGGATGCAGGGCTGGAAGAGGCAGTGTCCTGCTCATCTCTAATCCTCTCAGTGTGACAATACTGTCTCCTAAACAAGGCTTTCTGCCTCCATTAGTGTTTTCAGTTCAGTCATTTGCCTTTCTTGGAGGAACCCTAAGTACTTAAATACCTGGTAGGACTCTTTCAGTCAAGTAGTTGGCTTGACTGATAAGTCAAGTACTGTTGCCAACAGTGCTGGAAATTCTTTCATGTGTGAGAAGAGGAAATGTTGCTGTGTCTTACCAGGTGGTCAGCATGGGAGACTTTTCCACATGGCTTTGTGGTGTGTGCAGGTAAATAAAGCGGGTTTGTTTTAATAACTGGGGGAGGCAACACAGGCACTTGCAGGATGCAGTCGATACTGCTGCTGTAGGTGTCTGCTTCAGGATGACAGGAGTTGTGTTGTGGAGACTCTGTTAACAGTAAAGGAAGCCTGCACAGGTTTTCACTGACTTCTGTGCTTGCCTCTGTGTAAAGACGAGTGAAATGGAGTTCAGACTCCTAATTTGACAGCTTTGTCATCAGCTCCTCACGCTGTATGTGCCTCACTGGTGTTTGGCTGCGTTGCAGCGTAACCAGAGATATGGACTTGCAGAGTCCCACCGTTTATCTTTAGCTCCTCTTCAGAGGAGGAGAAGGAGAAGAGGGAAAACTTGGCAAGAGAAATTCAGTGGTTGGTGGTGGTGTTCTGCTGCTCTAAGTTTAGCAGCGTTGGGGGTGGTTGTTAAAACGGGCTTTCGGAGTTCGAAACCCTCCCGTTGGGAGCAGCCTTAGGTAGTGCTGGAAGCCCATCAGCGCTGCCAAAGCCCAAACACCTGGCTCAATTTAATCAGTAAATCAGTAAAAATGGAAGAGGTTCGAAAGCTCCCCCTGTTGCAGGCAAGAGTCGCGTGGTTTGCTCAGGGACAGACTCGAGGCAGCGCATTTAAATTGCCGTGTGGGGAAGTTTCGTGTCACAGCGAAGTCCTGTCGCTCTACTCCATAGAGGCAAACCTGATCTCAGCATCAGCAGGGGCTTGTTGTTTTGCCACTGCAGAGAAACTTCTTGTGTCTGCTACGCAGCCAGGAGAACAATATAGAGGGTTATGGAAAGGCTGCATTATCCCGGGGGCCTTTCGGACGGTTTTTACAGTTTCTATAGGATGTTAGCAAATCCCCCACTGCAAAAAGCTGCAGCTGAATTTGATAAAATATCACCTCTTCTGATTCCTTCTCTGATGGAGTTCGTCAGATGCCTTCCTGAGTGAGTACAACCAACATTTTCATATGTTTATCCTTCAGCATGGCCACGGAATCTGTTTTAATTTCTGAATTAAATAAATACATTTGCAAGATCGAGATCCTTTATGTAATTATTTATGAAAAGTGTTTGTAAGAAACTTTTCAATTCCTGTTCTTCTGATTTCTGCTGCATCAAAGGGAAATTAATACTCAGTTCTGGAAAGGGAGGGCAGTTCATTTGGGATGATCACTAATACTGGCTGTAGAAGGAGATGGGGTGCTGTTGTGGAATGAGGGGTAGAGATCACATGTACATGAGGGGTTTTAATGGATTCTGACTTGTGCAAAGAGAAAAAAAGAAGTCCAAAGGCTGCATCCCATTAGAAGAATTGCTGTACGTCTAACATGTTCAGGAAGAATTAATTTGCTGCACTTGCAGCAAAATGAAATTTTCAGAGCTGTTTAGAACAAAGACTTTATTTTTTTATTTGATGAATTTCATTTGACTTACACTTGCAGTGATTTGGGTCTTGACTTCAGGGTGCTCTTGTCAGTGGAGGGAAAGATGTTGAGAAGATGGAAAAGCCTTGGCAGAGCTGTTCCAGGGCTTCTGTCTTCCTCGTACCCGTCTTTCTCCTTTTGTGAACTCAAAACTGTGATATTTTGGAACCTTGTCTCATCCCTCAGATATGCCTGGCTTGGCACCTGTACAGGGCTGTGTTTGTGTGAGCTTAAGCTCTGGTTCAAGGGGAGGCACTAACACAGGTACTTGCTTCATGTTTTGGGTTGGAAGGGTATTGAATTTACAGCCAACTTTAAGCTCCTGTCCTGAAATTCTCCCTTAGGATCAGATTTAAATCATTCTGCAAGCTCAGCTCTATGCTCAGTGGTGTGATTTTAATGGGGCTGGTCCGTGACACTAAGGATAAAATTTAGGTGGCTGCTGGAGCTTGACAGGATAAGATTCATGATGAAAGTTTGCAATTTAGGAAATATTTACAGGGCATTTAGCAGTTGGTGAAACACTAACACTGTTCACCCTTTTGCTGTGATCAGTGATTAGCAAGGTGATATTTTATTTCCACTGGCAGACTGTGGTGTTGCCTGCTCTACCTGTGCTGTTAATGGCCCAGGAAGTAATTTAAGGGAATGAGGATGCCTAAATAGTAAGGATCTGGAAAAAGAAGATAGGTCAGGATTTCTGCAGTAAATAGAAAACTGAGAGAAAAAGGTAGTTAACAGAAAACTGGAGGGAAGATGAATGAAAGCTTTTAAGGAATTCAGTGTGATGTAAATGTCAGGGTTTTTAAAAAAAATCACCTTTCAGGTGTCACACAAGCCCATTTTAGCATTTTTTTATTTGGCAGTGTAGGTTTTCAAGATAAAAATACTAAGGTTTAATTTTCTACTGCAGAAAAAGAGTTCTTTTAAAAAGGCTTATTGTTCATACAAGACTGGCAGAGTAATGTTAGGAAGAGATTTTTTGTTTTGTTTTGTTTTTAAAGTGGTATTTTCTTTGAACCCATTAGTGGTATTTTAGCCCTTGTGTCTAATTCTTTAAATAACTGAGAGTTAGTTTGTCTTCCTGTATATATATATAAAAAGTATAGGTAAATAGCTGCTGCTCACCTTTGGGTTTGTTACTGTGAGAGGAGGTTCCAGGCTCATGGCAATGCATAGAAATTGAGGTTGGAAGGGATTTCTGCAGGTCCTGCCCAAAGCAGGGCTGAGGATGCTCTGAGCATTCCCTGGTCAAGTTTTGAGTATCTCCAAGGCTGGAGATTTCACAGGCTGTCTAGTGTTTGAGCACAGTTAATTCCTGATATTTAGGAGGCATTTATCCTGCTGCAACTTGGGTCCGTTTCCTCTTCTACTGTTCCTTCGTATGTACCTCCAAGAATCTCACTCTGTGTTCTCTGTTACCTTCTCTGTAGCTCCTTCTGCCTTAAATGTTAACTTAGATGTGCAAATTTATAATAAAATGCTTGTTTGTCCAGTGTTTCCCACTTCCTCAGGCAGTCCTCAGTTCACTTAAGTATAATTTGTCTGCAAAGATCCCTCTCTTCCATTATGTTTGTAGCGATTTTCAGTTTAAAGCCAGTGTTTCATTCTCTTCTTGCACTTGCCTTGGCTGTGTTTTTCCTGAAGACAGGAAGATGCTGTAGCTGTAGGTTCTTCCTTACACAATAATACAGTTTTGTCATGCTCTCATATACTCTTCTGAGACGTTTTTTGGTTTAGCACAATCACATGTTGAAGGCACTTATGCTGTTGTGCATGCACAGCTTTTAAAATTTTCTAGAATAAACAAAAGTCCCACTTTAAACCAAGTGTGGGTTTTGACCAACTGTGTGTCAAAACCCGCTCAGAATCCTAACTCACTTCATTTTAAAGGGATGCTCTTCTTTTCCAGCACTCCTGTAGGATTTAATGTGCTGGTTCTTGAGACACTGTACCCAAGTTACTGAGTGTTTTAGTAAATCCATGCTGTTCAACCACAGGCTTTGTTTTTTTTATTTGCCCAATGACATCCAGAAAACTGATTTGTATAAGGGTAAAGACAAAGGCAAAATTCAGGCTGGCAAACATCAGTGCTTTTATGCCCACGTGTTCTGTGTCTGAGCTACAGTTAACACCCCATGCACACCCTTTTATTTGGGTTCATTTTCTCACAGGGTCGAAGATGGGAACCTGTGGTCAGTGGCAGAGAGTTCTGCCAGCAGTAGCAGATTGTGTAATTGTGGGTTTGTGTCTTGAATGTGTTGTGGTAGGGACTGTTGTGTGTTAGGGTGATACTTTGAGTATAAAATCATAGAATGGTTTGGGCTGGAAGGGACCTTTAAGGTCATCCAGTTCTAACCTCTGCCATGGGCAGGGACACCTTCCACTAGACCAAGCCCCGTCCAGCCTGTTCTTGAACACTTCCAGGGATGGGGCAGTAGAAGAAGGAAGGGGAAGATTTCCCCTTCATGGCTTTTTTTATCCACTTTGAGGCCATCCTACAGAGTACCTGGTGATGTGCAGCAATGGTCATAGGCAAACTGTTTTTTCTGTGTATGTATTTATGTGATGGTAATAGTGGTACCAGCTCACCTTTTCAGAGATGGAAAGGGGAATCATGAGATGTTGTTCATGATATTATTACTATTAAATTCAGTGTGGTTTCCACTCCTTGACAAACATGTTCCTGACTATGTAGTGCACTCACACTTTAAATAGTTTGCTGTTTCTATAGGTGTATATTCACACTCAATTTGGAAGTCAACTGAAGTTTGTCTGGATTTAAAATTTAGATGAGATTCTTTACCTCTAAAATTCAGCTTCCTCTGTTTTAAAATTCAGAGGTTGTTAATATCCTGCAGCAATTTTGCAGGGCAGTTTGATGTATTTTCTGTAAAACACACAGAAACCGAGCCTTTATAGTCTCAGTCAGTAGCATTTGTATTTCTTAATTTTTTTTTTAGCTGTTGTGGATAGGTTGATCTTTACCTGCTGCCTGAGTTTACCTTTCCCAGGACATGTAGGACAACAGTATTTTATGTACTGCTTTTCAACCTAACTTCTTATTTTAGCACAGTCCCTGCAGAGGTGAAACAGCTTAATGCTTCATACAACCTGCTGTTCACACAGCCTCAGGAAGAATGTATACGCTTCATTATTATTATCTTAGCATTTAATCAGAATACTATGAACATTAATTTTCAGTGCAGAAGATCCAGAAAAATTACAGGGTAGATACTCCTGTAGAAAATCTGTACCTCATTTAAAAAATCCCCGTGAATCCTGTCTTCAAAGAAATAAAATATATCTAAAATTCCCTTTGTATCTCCCAGTAAAATTCTGAAGCATCCTTTTTTTAGCTTCAGCTTTACATTTTGCAGTGCCCTTTGTTTTATTGCCATAACACCAACTAGTCCATGAGAAGCCAACTCTAAACTGTGTCGTGATGGCAGGTTGCTTATATTCTGTTAATTGTCTCAAACAAAACAATTTGTGTTAATTACTGCTTGGGTTTCTCACATTATTTGGGCAAACAGCTCCATTACACTGAATAGCACATTTTCTGATTGTTTGTTTGTTTGGTGAAAGTATTAGTGTTTCCCTTCAGTGTTTTGCTTTAAGATTAACATGTCATTAAGCTGCATAATAAGACAGTCTTTATTCTCGTGCAGTGAAATGGCAGGGGAAGGCAGGGCGTAGTTTTGCAGTTTATTCAAGAGAAGTTAAAAAAATAAATAAATAAAAGTCTCTGAAAGTGGATTAGTCAGTGACTTGGCTCTCTCTGTCATGGGATAGCAAGACCCAAACTGAAGCATTTACAGCAAAACACATGTTCATGGAGGTGGATTATTTTGCCAAATGCTGCAAAACACAGAGTGTCGGTTCCAAATTAGTCCATGTAGCTACTTTTTGCATAATTTGGGGAAAAATCATCTCTTGGTTTATCAGCAGGATCTAGTATATTTTATAAAATCTTGTGCTCTCTGTCTCTGGTGTGGATTAATAGAGGTCTCTTTAATAAACTACAGTTTGGGAGATTAACAGTTAAAAGATTCTTTGCCTTTGGAGGCAAGAAGTTAATCTTTGACAGCGCATTTCTGACATGTTACTGGAAATCACTCTGTGCGCCCGCTCTGCTGCTATTTTCAGCATTTGTTGTGGGGCTCTTTTCAGCAAAACTGCTGTCAATGAGAGCCCTGTGGAAGCAAAAACAGCAGCTAATCCATGTGTGTTGTATCCATGGAGTTAAGTGCTTAGCTGAAATGGAACAAAGAATTGCATATAAAAACAAATTTCTTTCTGATGTGATGCTGCACCTCGAATCCGGTGTTGAATTTTGGGCCCCTTGCTACAGGAAAGACATTGAGGTGCTGGAGTGTGTCCAGAGAAGGGAATGGAGCTGGGGAAGGGTCTGGAGCACAAGTATGATGAGGATTAGCTGGGGGGGTCTCAGCCTGGAGAAAAAGAGGCTCAGGGGAGACCTTATCACTCTCTACAACTGCCTGAGAGGAGGGTGTAGCTGGGAGTTTGGTCTCTTCTCCCAGGTAACATGTCATAGGGCAAGAGGAAATGGCCTCAAGTTGCACCAGTGAAAGTCTAGATTGGACACTTTGGAAAAATTTCTTCACCAGAGGGGTTGTCAGGCACTGGAACAGGCTGCCCAGGTCAGTGGTGGAGTCACCATCCCTGGAAGTGTTAAAAAGACATGTAGATTTGGCATCTGGGGTCATGGTTTAGTGGTGACCTTGGCAGTGCTGGGTTAATGGCCAGATTCAGTTGTCTTGGAGATCTTTTCCAACCTAAAGGATTCTGTGATTCTGTGCCATGACAAGCTGCTTCAGCCTCATCTCTGTTTCCTCAAGTGTGTTTGGCTCCCTTTCTGGATATAAGTTTAAAAACAGGAGCTGTGTTAGGTGGGAGAGGTTGTGTGGTTTCAGTTTGTCTTTGGTTTTTTCTTTACACTCCATAGCCTTTGACTTTAAAATGTGGTTCCACGTGGAACAGATCAGGGTGGTTTCTCTTCTGACCTTTCATCAGGGCTGTATTCTCTTTAATTACTGTGTTGACTGGTAGCAAAAAATGTAGGACACTGGGTTATCCACCAGCAGTGTTCCAAAGGAGATTTAGGGTAAAAGCACTTGGAAATCCTGTACACTGAAGTATTTCAGAAAAGTTGCTTCAGAAGTTCTTGAAACCATGTGGAGGTCTCTCAGCATGGAGACCTGGGGGGCAGTCCTGGTAGTGCTACATCCTGCTCTGCCACTGAGAATTGGTGGCTTCTTATTTCCCAAAACAAATCCGTTTGAAGTGTGATCGATATCTGTTTTTATCTTGCCCTGCATATCAAGCTGTGTTTTTAACGTGCACCTGCTTTTTATTTAAACAAGGTCACAGCCCTATTGCTTAAAAAAAGGGATCATCAGACCACCTTTGCAAGTTTATTGAGTCTGACCTTTTACTGCCATCTTCATAAGTCTCACTGGCTTTCCCTTTTACTGCCATCTTCATAAGTCTCACTGGCTTTCCCTTTCCACTCTCTTTTTGACTTCATGACCCACCTGTAGAGACAAATTTGCCAAACAGACTGTTAATTGTTGTGGTTGCTTTTGCTGGAGTCTGTAATAAGACATCTCATGATGGAAATGTGGTTGTTCACGTTGAAAACCTGATAGATGAACATGTCACCGGCGACATGAAACATGACAAATGTGCCTGCAGTCATTTCATTCATCACTACAAATGGGATTCTCTTCATCTGCCTGGCGTGGATGCACATGCAGAACAGATTGAAGTATTCCTGTGTCAAATGATAGTGTAGATTGAGTGGGGTGGTAGAAACATTTGTTGTTACAAGAGATTGTTGTAAGTTTGGGGATCTCCTCTGCTGTGTGGTGACAGTGGCTATTTCTTGACACATGATGGGAACCTACTGATGTCCCTCTGAGTTGTCAGCATCCCTGGTCTTGAATGTTGTGTTTCCTCTTTTATTTGCACTCCTTGAATTCTGGAGGTCTTAAGTCTTTAATGTTACAAATATTTGAATGTGCCCAATGCTGTTCAGAAATAGTGTGTTTAAAAAACCAAATCAACCTGGAACAAGCACATCATAATTTTTATCTGTTCTTCTAAGGATGTTTATTACTGACTAAAATGTTGGTGGTCAGTTTATATTCTCCCTATAAGGAAAACTTTAAGGAAATCCATAAGCATTATACTGGCCACTGTGCCTGTGGACCTGTGTTTTTTACCACACTGTCTTCAAAGATTAATTTAGAAACAAACAAAAAAAAAAAAAGTCACAAAATTTGGGTTTTGTTGTTGTTTCTAATCCTCTCTCACAGGCATTTGAGTTCAGAATTCATTTAGAAAAATGCTTAAAAGAAACAAGCAAAGAAAAACCCTAAAAAAAAAAACCCTACAAAACAAAAATAGTCTTATTTGGTGTGGTTAGTCACAGAGGGGAAGCCTTGGTCTCTGTGGCAGCTTTCTTAAAAGGAGCTGGGCAGCTTTGCAGTTTGGGCAGAACAGGCTGTAGGCAGGCCCATGTTTGATCAGAGGGGAAACATGCCCTGTCAAGAGGTGCTTTTATGGGGACCTGAGTAGAATTATAGATCACTTTTGTGTGTTACTGCCTCTCTGGCAGTTCTTAAACTCTGAAAATATAGCCTAAAATTGGCTTGGTAAGAAAGTAAGATTCAGCCCTTAAGGATTAGTATACCCCTCTCAAAATGGCTTTCATATTTCATCTAGACATGAAGATTTGTTACAGCACTTACGTTTTTAAATATCTAGGATGAGTTGTGCGTTTGTGAAAAAGGATCAGTGCAAGCCACATGTGCCAGATGTGGTAAAAGCTGTGGCTGTGATAGGAGGGGATCTGCAAAGGGCAGGAAAATGCAGGGTCTGTCACAGGAAGGGATTTCAGTGTGGGCAGGGTCCTTCACTGGTGACAGATGACAATTTTAGTCATAGAATGGTTTGGGTTGGAAGGGACCTTAAAGATCATCCTGTTCCAGCCCCCTGCCATGACCAAGGACACCTTCTGCTTGCTCCAAGCCTCATCCAGCCTGGCCTTGAACACTTCCAGGGATGAGGTGGGCAACCTGTGCTGGGGCGTCTCCACCCTCCCAGTAAAGAGTTTCTTCTTTATTCTATCTGCCTTCATTCAGTTTAAAGCCATTCCCACTTTTCCTTTCACTCTATGCCCTCGTCCAAAGTCCCTCTCCAGCTCTTCTGGGGCCTCTTTAGGCACTGGAAGGGGCTCTCAGGTCTCCCTGGAGCCTTCACTTCTCCAGGCTGAAAACCCAAACTCTCCCAGCCTGACTCCAGAGCAGAGGTGTTCCAGCCCTTGGAGCATCTTTGTGGCCTCCTCTGGACTGGCACCAGGAGGTCCATGTCTGTCTTATGTTGTGGCTGATGTTTGAGCCACAGGAGAACTCTGGGGTTGCTGGAAGGCGCAGGAAGAGACAGTCTGTGGTCTGTGTTCATACTCCATGTGTGTGTTGTAGGGTGGACTAAGATGTACTTGGCAAGAAGAGGAGCCTTGAAGATGATCCAGAGCATGTCGATAACACTTCCATTTGCTGTTTGAAGGCTGCTTCCCTGTGCTGTGGTACATCAGAGCAGTGTACCTTAGTGCTGTCCTCGCTCGGTGCAGTGTCACCTTCAGGATTGAAGGGTCTCTGTGACATAGTAATGAACACTCGAACTTCATTCGTGGGGCTACCAAGAAAGAAGGACTGAGATGAAATGTTAGACTGTAAAATAGTAGCACCAGGAAGCTGCTGCAGTGGGCGAGTGTCCTGGTGTCTGTCAGCAGAATGGGCTGTAAAGTGAGCACTGCTGGTGGTGTCAGTACAGTCCCCGTTACACTGGGGAGTTTTTCTTGGACAACTTCATAAACTCTTGCTGTGCTTTCACTCAGGTACCTGCAGTCAGCGTGTGCCTTGTGTTGTGTGAGTGCTGGAGTGATTCAAACCACAGAAGATGCTGGTGAAATGTTTTTTTTTTTCAACTAAACACTTGGGGAAGGGGTGCAGCGGGGGCACATCCTCCTGTGTTCCAACAGACTTTGATGCAGGAAGAGCAGCTGAGAGAGATCCCTGGAGGCACCAAGGGCACAAAAGCAGAAGGTGGCTCAGAAAAGGGTGACTGAAATGGTGACACTTACCAGAAGGTTCAAGGGGGAAAAGAGAGAAAGAGCAGAAACATTAAAATCAGTGAGCTACAAGGTGGTAAACTTCAGTAATCTGTGAGAAGCTGGCAGCATGACTCAATTCTTTCAGATGCAAACCTGAAAGAAAAAGAGGATTTAAGATGAAGTAGCAGTTTAACAGAATTTTTTATTATGGAGATGGCACAGGCTGTCCCAGTTCAAATGAAGGATAGAAAATATAGTAACTTACTAAGTTGATAACTTTTTCCAGCATAAGAAGGAAGGAAGGAAGGAAGCCTGCAAAAAGTCTGCCCTAGTTTCCAATAGGGATGATTTGAGCAGGGATAAATATAAAGAATATTTTTGCTTCCCTGATATTTTTGGATGTTGTTTTTAAATTATTTTTAATTAATTTTTTTATGTTCTCCGACTTGTGCTTGCCAGAACATGCACCTGGCAGTGGCTGTGGGGAAGGCAAAGAATTGGTGAGTATTGTAGTAGTGAAAGGAAAACAAGGGATTTGGTCTGGTGCTCAGCAGGAAAGGGAAGTCACCAACTTCTGACACTAAAATATTGTATTAATATGGGGGAAGGGAAGCTTGTATCAGTCTCTGGCTAAGATTTTAATTGGGAGCAGATGGCAAATTAAATCATTGGGTGCCTTGTGGCTGGTGTGAAACTGTACAACTTCAGAACTGTGAGCTGTTACCTTTGACACCTTGTGAAGAGTAAATAAGCTTCTAAAAAAACCCATAAGAATTAAAATAATGCCTAGGCTGCCTTATTTATAATTTCTAATTTCAGTTTTCAGAAAAGAACGCAGAAACTTGAGAAATACTGCAAGAAACCAAGGAAGCCAATAACACCCAGCAGATTTTTCTCTTCAAAAATAAACCATGTCACAGAAACTGAACTTACTTCTGTAACTTGATAACAGGGGAAAGAAAAATTAGTAGATTACCACGCGTTGAAATAAAGCTTTTAAGAATAAGCTAGAAAAATGGGGTCTGCATATAAGCTGCTGGAAAATGGGTGCAGAAATCTTTGCATAACGTGTCAGTAGTCCAGGGCCTTCACAGGCATGTGGCAGGTGGGACAGTGCCCTGGTGTGCTCAGATCTGTCACTGGTCACTGATGACCTGCGTGATGCAATGGAGAAGACATTTGCAGAATCTGCAGGTACTGAAATAGGAGCCACACTGGGTGTTTCCACTAAAAATAGAAAGGGCCTGGGTGAGCTAAATGTATATCCTGTGTTTTTCGTGTTACTTGATCAGACTCTTTCAAGATTTTGTGGAATAAACCACTGCGAAAACAGAAGAAAAGACAAGTGGTTGTGTTGCTAGACCTTAGAAAATCCTGAGGTATTTGTAGTAGTGAGATCTGACACGTAGCAGTAAAAAAAAAAAAAAAGGAGATATATGTCTGTTTACACATTCCAACGTGACAGCTGATTTGTAAGAACGGTGAAGTCGTCCTGCTGTACCCTGTTTTGGAAGGACGACTTCTGAGCTGCTGTGTAAAGCTTTGAGTGCTGGACTGGGAGTTGAGAGCTTTGCAAGGAGCAGGGAGAAAGCAATGAGAGTAGAAAAGCTGACCTGCAGTGAAAGGCTGAACAAATTGAGAACTTTTTTCTTTTTTTTTTTAATTCTGTGGAGAG